TTTTATGAAATAAGCTTCTAATTTATACTTTAAAATTTTCCAAATGTGTTGAGGTGACTATAATTAAGCCATTTGTTTCTGTGGCTCAAACAAAACTGTGTAACCAATCAAAAAGATTGTGTAACCAATCAAAGATGAGAAGATCTGGAAATCTGTTTGAAAAACATTATTTTTGCGGTTCTGTTTGATGTTAGTGGTTTGGCAATTATGTTCTCCAACTTGAGGATAAATGTGCTTGTTTTCACATTAAAACTCATTAAAACTCTTTGACTCTTTGTTTTTTCCTGCTCCCCATCATTCCCACACCAGCCTATTGCCCCTCCCAGATTGTCATCCACTACATGTCCAGCCAGCAGGGGAGGTAAAATCGCATTCTCTGCGGTTTCCATCACTGACCTGAATACGCCTGCTCTCTCCAATAACAGATTCAGGAGTGCACAAATAGAGACGAGAAGGAAAACTAAAGCACGAAAACAGACAAGGAAGAGAACATGACTGATTTCCCTATTGTGGAACGAAATGAGATTGTATCAGTTGGACAGTGGCGTGGAAGCTCTGCCAGCTTCAGTGCTGTTCTTCCCCTCAGTCTGCCACTTTATCCTGCCCTTATGCCTCCATGACCATGTCCAGTCCAGAGCCTGCTGGGAGAATATGACCTCCCCTGACTCACATTTTTAAGTCCGTACAGTGCTTTCAGTGGTCCTGCCTGGTCTTTTGTCCTGTAGACTGTTGTGTGGAGGGATCTATAGATGCTGTTCTTTTTCATTACCTAATGAAGTTGATTTTATCATGGTTATGGAAATGACAGGAGGCAATGGATCCTTTAGAGATTGTAAATTAATCCTATTACATGCTTTATGGACTTTGGATCAGTTTAATCGTCTTTTACTTGTAAGTGACCATTCATTCAGCTCATATTGGTGTAAACCTTTCTACACATCTGCATTCATTTGTATATGTGTGTGTGTACTGTATGTATGTGCAGTTAATAGCTAAGTATCTGTTTTTCCTATAAGATGGTGAGGATGGTGTTGTACTGAATAGGACACTGATTTCCATGATTTCATTAAAATGATGTTGCAAGGTTATAGGATAAAGATATAGAGCAGTGATTTCTACTTGGAAAGATTTGCATTAAGATTTTCTCACAAGCATATTTCATACTTTTGAGCTTCTATGATATTTAAATTCCACAATAAAGTGAGAGCAAATGAATTTATTTTTGTTAAACTTATCATCTGCATCACATTTACAAATAATCATTCTCAGAGAAAGTGAGTTTATTTATTTATTTTAATAAATACAATATTTAAATTGTATTATTATAATTTTTTTTTAAAGTTATTTCCTTTATTAAAGATATTTTAAGAGAATGTTAAAATGAACTAATAATAGTAATTACCAGCAATAATATTAATAGGAAACATATTTCAGGTTTGATGTGGATGATATACTTTATTTTAATTGTGGCTTCATATGTCAAAAATGTTTGGGAAACACTGCCATAGACTATTTATAATGGTTCAATATGTCAATTTTTTTTTCAGTTTTCACATTTTTTTTTTGTTCTGATGCCTCATATGTGCTTATGAGGATAGTAGCTCACCTGTTGGGCCACACGTCAACACCAGGGCGCATTGCTACCACATATCCTGCCTCGTACATTACAGATTTAAAGTGAGAAAATGACACCACCAGGTGACCTGAATGGACTACAGAAGTTTGGTGTTTCATAGATGGTTATTACAGTTCAAGATATATAGGAGTTTACGCTCTCATTGCAGCGAAACTTGCGCTGAGGGAGCCGCAGAACAGCCTGTCTGTGAGTGGCTCCTGGTATATGATAGGCTATGAATTACATTACATCTCTAAAATGGGCCCCAGAGCTAAAACAGCACTACATCTTAAATTTCAGGACACTGGGTGAGAACGAGAGAGGGAGGGAGAGCTGGAGAGAAGAAGAAAGAGATGACGTTGAAAAAAAGAAATAAGATTCAATCTTCAAGAGCCTTACAAATGTTTGCGTCAGTTTTCTTGTTTAAAGCAAAAGCCACTGAGAGGACGAGGTAAAAGAGAGAAAGAGAGAGCGGAGAAGTAATGTCCACGTCTCGTTTTTTTTCTTCTTCTCCACGTTCTCCTTTCCCCCCCTCAAACTGTAGTGAAAAGATTAAATTGTTTACGAGCTCGGAGCCAGGCTGGCTAGAGAGGATGAGCCAAGAGCGACAGAGATAGAAATTCTAATTCGTGGCTGTACTTAGCGCCCCGGCCCCTCTGTGCAACCGCTAATTCTTTTATCTAGCTTCAACACTCCAGGCTGCAGCCACATTCATGAAAAAAGTAAGTGAAAGAGGCAAAAATGACTGTTCTATACGGCAAACAACTGATAAAAAAATCTCTACTTGAATACTTTATTTCTTCGTCCCCGTTTCTTCCATCCCTTCTTTCTTTTTTACGTTCCCCTCATCTCACGAAGCGGCAGGCCGACTGTAGTCTTTAACCCTTTATCTAGACTGAGCAGAAAGGCATTTGCTGCATCTCTGCTGGTGTGTGAGTGTCTGCATGTGCGTGCTTGTTTGACGGGGTTTGGTTGAGGAGCGAGATTGGTGTAAGTTGATTGTGGCGGCGTTGGGTACTGGGGGGTTTCAGGTGCGCGGGGGGCTGGGATTGGCGGTCCGGCGG